ACTATAGACATTTTGGTAGGACTCCTTGGACGAGGGATCAGCCCGTCGCAAGGCCTCTACCTGTACACAGGACAGCACAACACAGAAAAACGCGGACAAACATCCATGGCTTGAGTGGGATTCGAACCCACGGTCCCAGCGACCAAGCCTTTAACTGCGCGCACATTAAGGACCCCACATAAAAAATACAATTTGTAAAACACATTTCCTCTCCTTCACTCACACGAACGAAATAATGAAGGTTCGACTTATTAACACATCATTATATCTTCATTATTTACAAAATAAACCGCCTACTCCACCAATGCATCTACGACGTACCCAAACAAATGCAACGCAAACATAACAATAACGATTATCAAGACCAATGTAATTAGCGCTGATACAAAATGGCCGTGTTGCAAATGAAATCCACAATCTACACTAATCACGTCAGACACAGAATCGGGTCGAAGTCTTAATTCATACTAGCTGGCATTGCCAGTGGTGAATTCCAAATGACCACAGGAAGCACTGAACTCACTGTAGTATGTAATCCAATTACTGGAAATCCCCTTATGTTTTTTTAAACTGTACGATAACACTTTGTGCTTTATTCACTAATTAAATAGTTTCCCATAGTTTTGTTTTACATAACCCCCTACTTAAGTAATGTACCATTAAATTTAAATAAACTGGAACAGTTATTTCTATAATGAACTGTATTCAAGAAGTACAGTCCTTAAATCACTGCTTAAGCACTAACTATTCTGGCTACAGTTATAAACCCGTTCTGAATAATTTCTTTACTACATTAATCTTATCATTTAACAGGGTATGTCGATGGATTTTTCCAATTCTCTTTATTTAACATTCTTCCCATATTATAGAATGATGCAGTTGGTAAAACATCGTTAAATAATTTATTATTAAATCCTCATGCAAAGATACTCCGTTTCGAATTTCTATCCTAACCGCAACAGTATGAAAGTAGAGACTTTCTTTTAAACAATACAATTCTCAAAACTGAGGTCACACCCATTTCATTGTTATGGAAAGTATTAAAATGTATAAAGTAATACATAAGGTTATAAGTTCATGAAATATTATAAAGTGTCACGCTGAACGTTACACTGTATATAATATAAAAGTAAAAGTGGATAAACTTTATAAAAATTTATGCTTGTAATGACACTTAATTATTTACCAATTTACACTTTTGGAATGAGTATGTCAAATCCTTAGATTAAATCGGTACAATCGGGATTATTTAAATATATACTAAATTTCGTGTAAGCGCCCCTGAAACGAACACAAACAAAAAGTCGCTGACCTCAGGTAGCCTCAACTCCTGTTAATTGCAAAGACAAACGTTCGCTTTTTTATGTTATCCGAAGTAGGTTGAGGCCTTTTGAAGAGCCGATCCCCAGTCCGAGATGATCTTATTTATGATTTATGGTCTGGTACATATTTACCGCCACGGTGGTCTAGCGGTTAGAACGCTGGTCTTGTAATCCTGGGGTCTCGGGTTCGATTCCCTGCGGTGCCCGAATTTATAACTTGTGTTGGGCAACACGGAGGTTTCCTCCGGGGGCTTCCCCGGTTTCTCCGTGGCATCCCAACAATTATTCCATTCACACACAGAAGAAGGCAATGGCAAACCACTTCTGGATCATCTGCCAAGAACGTATATGAACAGGTCCCAGTCCGAGAAAAGGATGGAAGGATCCTGTTCATATGGACCTGTCGTCCGACAGAACACTAAATAAAAAATAAATAAATAACATATTTACCGACATTTCAGAGGAGCACGTCGGAAGTTGTAACAGACTACACTGTACTACATCCAAGACGACAGCCATCTTTACATTAGTCGCCGGAAGAAATCTCACATTTTGCCAAATTGTTGAAGTTTAACCAAATATTTTTTTCAGATAAGTATGCAGATGTTTTTACTCCGTTGAAAATATGTAAGAGACAGTAATGGTTCTATAACTGACGACGTAATATTTCTGACTGCAAATAAAGCGGTGTCCCCACGCCCCCAAGGCTGATTGTTCTGGTATATCACTGGTATATAATACTGATGATTTATTTGCAGACTGTCGCAGTGATTTGTGGTGACTACCTGTCACCACTAACCACTTTGCTTCAGTAGAGTTACCACATGAATGACAGCAACAGATGTCAATTGAGCAGAACGAACTCAGTAAATGCATGCTAGTATATTTTAGTTCATATTAGTTTATCATGTTCCATCAAAACACAAATAAAACATGAATTATATAAAATATAATTCACCTTGTTATGTAAATAAATTAAACTTAGAATTGGTCTTTTGTGGAAGAATAGGCGGTAATATGGCTTCAAAATCATTCTGATGCTGTCTCACAGACGATGTAAAAATATCTTATTACGTATAATAAACACGAAAATGAAAGTAATCCGTATTTCTGTGTACGCAGAGGAACAATGAAACCAAGATTTATTGGGTCAATGTTAACGAATCTACAGAAATATATGTCAGAATTTATTGTGTTTTGTATACATTCATCTCCTTCAGGACATAGTTCAGTGGTCGACTGTTTTGAACAATGTAACAAACTTTAAATTTCCATAAAATACGGGAAATATCTTTTCTGTGTAGGTGAATATCAGGTACTCATTTTCCACCTGATACTGCTTGAGGTTTTACAGTGGTTAAAAATTAGTTTAACCTAAATGTCTTGGTAGTAATAACGATTATAATTTAAAACTAAAATAACCACTATTAGATGGGGAATATCGGTACATTTGTGTCAGATCTATTTTCCAGCATATATTTCTAACCGAGGGATGTGTACTGTACCTATTTTTCGTACTACACGTATTTTCCAGTGAACAGAATGACACAAAATTTAGATCGTGAACTCATGGATATTTACAGATCTCCACGATACCCTCCAGATTATTGAGAAAAGTGTGTTAAGAATGAATCATAAAGAAGAGTTTTCAGTAAAAAAAATTGTTTTTCTGCTAGGAAAATTTGTAATTTGACCACAATTTCGTTTCAAACTAGGTTAACATCAAGACATTTTTTTAATATTATCTTTCTGTTTCAAAGAAAGCTTGGAAGTAACACAAGGCAGAATATAAAGACTGAAATAACACGAATAAGGCATTGTTAATAAACCTTTTGCCATTAATCCTTCAAAAAACTCAAACTGAAATTTATTTTACAGATGTACCCAATTTAAATGCCCTCATTTAACTTATTTCAGGTCCAGTGAATACCCCGGATGTTTTATTTACTTTGTATAGACAGGAACTCAAACACCTAATAGAATCAGGTTGATAAATTCAAACAATCAGCATCATCAATCGCCCAATCACATGCTCGTTTCCCGGCTCCTAAATTACTTTAATCGCCCCCATTCGTCTATCCGTTTGCAATTAAACTCCCAACTACCACTTTTATTCAATTTACCTGGAATTTGTTTTTCCTCACACAGCCACTTACACAATCCTTCCACTAAAGTTCATTTTCAATATTTAATTTTAATCTTTTAAAGTCTGTCATAAGTTTAATTTATTGTCAAAATGCCTTGTTTATCGAAATTAATATGGAACCCTGCTTATCTATAAACATATTGATATATGTTTTGTTAATATTAAACTAGGATAATGGCTTAGGTTTAATATACCGACGTAAACGTATCGGAATAATATGTATTAGTAAATTAAATTGTTTCAAATTTAACGTTAAACTAGCAGGTTACGTAAAATATAAGTACACAAAACACACATCTTTAAATTCGTTTGATTCTCAATTTATTACCTCTTATATTGTTCTATATTGTATTTTAACAAACATTAAGGTTGAGTATAACTCAATTATACTGTTAAACATTATCCATTGCCTCTTTTTAAATAACCCACGACGTTTCGAAAGATGTTGGAACTTCCATTCTTAGGTGATCGGTGAGAGGTCTAAGTTGGAAGCTACTCTCTCACGGGTCACCTAACGACACGAGTAAGTTCAACTTCCGAAACGTCGTGGTTTTATTTTGAAACATTTCAACGGTGGATAAAGTTAGACAGAATATTTATGTGCTTCGTGTCACATCATAATATGAATTTACTAAATACCAAATTGTATTAACCAGTTTAATTTCGTTCATATATTATTTGAGGCCTACATACAAACGTCTTCACATCTCTAGTACAATTAGATCCATACAACAATGCTGAAACGTCGTCTTCAACGGCATAGCTTTATCAGGGTATTCTTCAGTCCCTCCAGGTTTAATAACCTTCACAGATGTCATGAAGGGTTCCATAAACATATTTTAAATTCATCATTCACAATCATCATACTATTTGACACTAAAAGCAATGTGGTTTAAAGGACCATAAGGAATTAAATCAGAGATATAAAGATAATTCCGACCACCTTTGCTACGAATAAATTTTTATACTTTTGCACAGACTAAATGTAATCTTTGACATTTTTCGGTAAAAACAGGAATATCTTAATTTCTATATTCATATCACAGCCTCGTTAGGTACTCCCTGTTAGAATCTGTAGTTCCCCCTCATCTCGTCGATCTGTTCACTGCAACAGACTCTACCAACCACGACCTAACGACAACTAATTCTCTGACCTGTCTTCTTTCTTCTCAAGACAGCGTCACGGCGAACCGCTAACAATGTTAACTAGTTAATTTATTCTTAAAGAAACTTTTATTTTGTATTATTTTTTTATGTTTTACTTTTTTGAATTCATTAAAGAGTTCAGTCTTGTTCAGTCCTTCCCTTCTTTTTACATGCTGACAATATAAGTAAAAAAAAATGAATGCAATGCAAAAGTTTCATGTTAAGGAACAAAACCCTGCTTTAATTCATAAGTTCTGAAGCACAAAGAACTCAGTTGTATTTAGTAATTGACAGCATTTGCTTTCATATTGTTTATCTAAAAATTTTACGACAGGAACCTCAAAAAAAAAAAATTGGACTCCCAATAGTATATAGGTCCGAATTTTTAAAGGAGTGAGAATTCTTTGTATTCTGAAGAATAGAATGTCGACGAAGAATACGAACATTTTAAAACTGTGTTTCGCTATTTAAATTTCAAAACATCTTAACGGTCGCTGGAAAGGAGAGGGTAGAGTGTTAGTGAGAAAGATGAAATAAGAATCCCAATGTCTCTGCAAGTTGGATTGCCAATATTATTTTCGCTTCCCTTGAGACGAGAACGCAAACAAAAAGTGGAAAGGAAGGGGACTGAAGTCAGTTGAACAATATATATTTGCCTGTTACTCTTACTGAATTTAAAACAGGAATGTAAAACAGTACATGTTCCAACAGGAGATATAGGGTTCTTTTCACAGCCTACATATCAACTGAAACTGAACTATTCAAAGTCTCATGAAAGAATAAACCCTTTCTGCAATCTGGCTATTTATCCACTAGAGGTACTATTCAAATTTCCTCTGCCAATTTGCACTCAACACAAGTTGGATTTACTCTAATGCACGTTTCTTAGGACCAGCCTACTTCCTTACTTTTAATTACAATGTTGTTTTCTTTCGAACATGATACATGTTTTACCCTCTCTTTAACGCTGCGACAATCCATTGCATCCATTGATTTACAGAGTTGAATTCACTATGGACAAAACTGTGTCTGTCTAACACCGGGGTATTGCGGGCCACGGCCAACTATAAGTATTGCTAATAGTGCAGTTTTCTTGCTACACAGACTTTGCTCTTACAACTGAAAACCGTCTCTTCCAAAACGTATTCCCACTTACTAATGATGGAGGTAGTCTGCACCTCTGAAACGTCGGTAAAATTCTACAAGTCTATACGGCGTATCATCCCAGAAGACAGCCATCTTTATGCCCTGATCGTCAATTGTAGTCCCGCTTTTGAATTAGATTACATCTGTGTTTTTATGTTCTATCGACTTTTCCTGTTCTGCGTAGGTAGAGGCGTCTGAATGGACCGATTCCCCGTGTCAGATGCCCTGCCAAATATCCATTCCGAGCTCGATGAAATTCAGACTTTCATAATTAATTCCATGCAGTGTAGTTCAACGGGATTAATATGACAGTCAAAGACGATAGACAGATTCAACTGTGCTGTTTATTGCTGCAAACACACCGAGGAAATAAAATAAAATTTACAAAATAAAAAAATCCGTGCTCCCACCGCATGTGCAATCCCAAAAATTCGTCGTTTGACATCCGACATTGACATTTACTCCATCGCAGATATAATCGTTATAGCATGGCTCGGTCGTCAGTGACGTATTCGTAAAAACTGTCTGACGACCCCAAGGCACGTTTTGTATTATGGGTGGAAGATTCTTGAGACAACATCGCAGAAGGTTAGGTTAGGTTACACGACACAAAAACGAGATAAAGGTTTTAGATGGAAGTCAAGAATTTTAGAGACCACGCCTAAAGAGATAAAGAGTCACATGTGTACGATTACTTAACACTGTTCTTATTTGTAACTCAAGAATAAACTAGATTATACCATATAAACAATGACAACATTGTGAGTGCATGTCAGAGTAACTTTATGGCTACTAGCAACATTTAACTTCAAGAAACGTCGAGGAATTTGTATAAGAGAAACTTACATTATACTACAGAGAGATATATCAACATTTCTTAAGTTAAAAGACGTTCCTTTTTTAACATGCACAGTAGATCCACGTATAAAGCCGCTAATATCTCTACCAGTGTACAAAATTCTCACCGATGTGAAAAGATCAAATCCCACAAATGTTTTAATTGATCTAATTCTTCGGCGTTCTAGCTCTCAACCCCCTATATCGACACATAATGTGCAAAATCCAACCGAAAGAGAATAAAACATACAACATTTATGGACTATATCGGTGGTCTAGCGGTTAGAACGCTGGCCTTGTAATCCTGGGGTCTCGGGTTCGATTCCCGGCGGTGCCCGAATTTATAACTTGTGTTGGGCAAGGCCGTGGTCTAGGCAACACGGAGTTTTCCTCCGTGGCATCCCAACAATTACTCCATTCACACACAGAAGAAGGCAATGGCAAACCACTTCTGGATCATCTGCCAAGAACGTATATGAACAGGTCCCAGTCCGAGAAAAGGATGGAAGGGTCCTGTTCATATGGACCTGTCGTCAGACAGAACACTGAATAAATAAATAAAATATCCAAACTTACTGTGAGTTTCTGAAAAGTTTATGACTTTTATCGGGTCGCAAAACCTTCTTGGCGATAATCTCATGGTGCGTGTATGGGCGGTCATTTCCTTCCTGCTTTCGAAAGGTTAAACGAGGTCATCATTTTGTACCAGGGTGGACAGGCCAGTACTTGGTATGCCGTCTTGCTGCAGTGGCTCTGCGTATTGATCGGGCTGTGTGCAGATCGGGCAGTAGATGAGTGACGGACCATAGCAAAACGGGGTTCCAGAATGTGGAAAGAAACAAAAATAAGGCGTTAATACAGCTGTGCTCCCCCCCCCCCACAAGCCATCATATCTTCGTTTTATCTTCTTTGCGAGTAGGAACGCTCCCTTGCAGTCACTGTTGTACTTACGTGGTTTCGGTAAAAGTCCCAAAGCCACCAGAGATAAAGCTTTAAAAAATGAAGCTCTAATTAAGATGCAAAAAAATTTAAAATTTTCAACTTTCGTTTCAGTTTTTATTTAATTTCTTTATTTTGTCTTATTTCTTCCTGAAACTATTTTAATCTTTCTTTCGTCTCATTTATTTTATTCCTTATATTTTTTATATATTCGTGTATTATTTTAATTTAAAACTGTTTGATAGCTTTCCTTTTCCTGTAACAAAATAAGCATCATTTTTTTCCTTGATTTTTATGTAAAATTACCTGAGAATTGCCAGTGTCGTTAAACATGTCACTAGAGCACTGACAGTTTATACTATAAGGCTAAATTATTAGTTCTATCGAACTTTATGAACATGAATACTGATATAATGAATACAAGATTAATCAAAATCTCTTCCCAAGAAGATTTAAGATTTGGCTTGGAATCAATATTCCTTACATTAATAATTTATGCTATGTTATACGTTTAATAAGCAAAGATATTCAAATTATATTTTTCAGTTTCGAATACAAATCGCTTGAACACTATATTACAGATTAGCATCAACTATCTGTGTGGAGATTACAGCCTGATGGCTTCAATAAATAATGCCGGAAATTCAGAATTTCCCACTGTTATAAACCCAAAACGAACATTCGCTCATTAAATTAAAACAACAGTAAGTTATAGCTACGATTCTTAAATAATATCTTACGTAGTGCTGCAACCTTCCAAACTGCTGTTTACCATTCGTCGCCAATGTTTAAATTGATTTTTTTTTATTCTGATACATGTATTGGTCATGTCATCATAAAAATTAATTTTCTAAAAACTTCACAATGCGGAATAGTTTATTAGGACGTCTGTTGTTCAAAACTAACTTCGTTATGTTAATCAAAAAAAAATTTAAAATTTTTGGTGCTTAAAGTATTTCTACCATACGATAGCAGTTGCAAAACTAGTGGTTGGTGAAATGTTCAAAATGCGATGAGAAAAAAATGGAACTGTAGAAAGGGATAAATGACAAAGCGTGTCTATTGTTTCTCACTCTCCCACATATTTTGGGATTATATTTACGTACGAATACGAAACGAACAATGGGAACAATACAATGCGAATTTTAATTTCTTCCACCAACATCACTTACTCCGACAGCTCTCTGAGCGTAAAACCTTCACAGAATTTTAAGAGCGAAATATGAATTAAACTGATAATCCAAATGACTATCAAATACAGCAGCGTCCACGCAGACCTATTCTGTAAGGTAGACAATTTTGGTCCATAACAGCACCAATTTTTTTTCCATAGCATAATTCAAATGAATAACGTAAACCCTGACTGTTATAACTTACGAGATTCTCCCAGTACGTAACACACTATACGAGTATTTTTATATAATTTCCGCTGAAAACAACGAAAGATTTAATATTCTCGTTCTTTTGTGTACACAACTGTAACTATTCCAACACATATTACACCAAGAGTAACTCATACTGGATCAAAATGTTAACTAATATTACACAAAAGTAAGGCAAATTGCCACTTTACTTGGATCATTCTATTCTTTTCAAAGATACAAGAAAAGAATGCCTACTTATCGTAACAGCTGTTTCATTAATAAAATCTTCTCTGGCCAACAGCTACTCATGAGTAGCCCTGCGGATGAGTACAGAGACGGTCCTCGAAACGTCTGTAAGTTTTAATCATCTGACGGCTGATGTCCCGAAAAGATTTTATTGAAGACATCCACTATGAAAACTTCACATTATGTATCTCTGTATCAGAAAGCAGATTACTACAATTAATAACATATCTAATTTATAAAGCAAACAGCTGTAGACTACAAGACAAATGTAAAATAATAATTTAATGCAAACGTACATTTCATTAATATTTTGTAACTTACTACTCACATTAATCACACATTCTGAAGGTACATTTTTATTTATCTTTTTATAATTCTTACTTGTTAGAATAAACACGGGATAAACTCACTTTATATTGTCTACTCTCAACGAGTTGCTTAATTCGACAAAATTTTGCACATCTCTCAATCCAGTCTGTTCGTTGGTTGAGTACACAACATTAACAGAACGTAGTATCAAATTTTTATTCAAATCTCGCATACTAAACGAATTGTAGTTACATTTAAAACCTTCGGGATTTATAATCCTTCAATGCAGAGCTTGTGTATAAACTAAGAATAAATTGTAGCGAACTCTAGGGCCCTGAGGTGTACTGATGTGTGAAATTATTGCTCTCGGTACTGAATTAATTAAATACAAGAACCTACTCAACTTCAAAAAAGTAGCAGTCCTGTAAGATTGAAGTGGATGAAGACAGAGTTCCCTTATTTCAACGTAGTTACCGAGTAAGACTCGCTTCAAGTTTACGGTTAACTGGCGTCATAGGATCCCCATTAAATGTTCTTCCTGCACTAATTATCCATTTTATACATTTTCTTTGTTATTGATATTCCGTACTTTCGTGTACCTCTTATCTTATGACAGTCAGACAAAATGAAAATTCTTCAGTCAGCTCAATTTTTTAAAAATCCTTCTGAGCCTCCGTAACCCTTTAGAGTAAATACCTAATAAGCAGCAAACAAATGTTGCCATGTAGTCTAATAGACGTTTTCCGACGTATTGGAAGCGCTTAATTCTTATACCATGAGGCCCTGATAATGGGGAAACTAGGTACATAAAACACACATCAATATAAAAGAGGAGTTGATTTAATTCTCTTAATGTCGCGTGCAAATAAACATAATTCCGCCAATGTTGGTAAAATATAAAGATTATACTTGTATTCCGGTTCATGTTTAGAAATAAACTAAATTACGTGACTTATCAATTTCGTGTAATAAAAAGTAAAAGTAAAGTTTGTCCCGCTATACGCCATGTAGGCGCTTGGGGTGAGAGGAGGTATAGCTCCTCTCTTCCTTGACCTCGGCACTAGATGGGGGTAAGTGGTCAGCATCACGCCCCGGCCGGCTTTACCCCCGGGAAAGGACCCCGGTACCCATTGTAGAGGAGGCTGGGTGGGCCCCAGAGCCGGTCTGGACGCAGAGGCTAGAGGAAAAATCCTCTGCCCCCGTCGGGGATCGAACCCCGGCCGTCCAGCCCGTAGCTAGTCACTATACTGACTGAGCTATCCCGGCTCATAATTTCGTGTAATACCAGTTATAAATTCAAGCTAAAACTGTCTCTAACAGCCAGTGCTATACTCAATAATCGTGGTTTTCACGGTTTGTAGTCTACATTTTCTCTCTTCTTCAATCGAATCCTCTTTGCGACTTCTGCGGAGAAGTTCAAAGGTGTAAACTTTTGCCCCTTGAGGGAGGTGAAGCTTATACTGGGGACTTCTGTCCATTTGCTAGCCGCCCCTGAAAGTTATATCTCTTAGATGGGTTAATACAAATTCTCTAGCCCCGCAGTGCTCATTACATTAAACACAAAACAAACTTGTACATGGTCGTACACACAAAGTAACCTAACTATTTCAGACAGACATTTTTGTGGCAATGAGGCACGATTTATTCAGTTTAAAAGTTACAGTTTAACAGTCTACTTTATTCAATATTTAAAGTTGTCATAGTGGAAAATGTTCCTTGTGGATGTTTCTTGGCACAGCACCGTGTCAAGATAATATTGATTACCGACGTTTCGGATAACTTGTTGCCTCTTTCTTCATGTTGTGTTGAAATGGTAAGTAGAAAAACTACCTATGTTTCGATTGAGTTCCAGCCACTTACTTCAAAATAGGCGTACAATATCGTATCAAAACGTGTAAAGATACCGACGTTTCGGAAGAACTACCTGCCTACTTCTTTAGAATATACAGCGCACTTTCTTTCTATAGTCTAACCACACCTTACATGTTGTTGCACTGTATCGTTTGGTAAAAGTTCACTGACGTTTCAGAGACGCTTTATGCTAGATAATTCATATGTAAGATAACAATTATTAGTTCTATGAAGTGGCCCCTTTCTTCATAAGCTAACTGTCGCTGATTTTTTTCAAGAAATTCGTCATCTTTTATTAAATCCAAGTGATCAACATCATGCTCAGATACGATATTCCACGTGTCATGTCCTGAGCTAGATTAATCCAATCCACAATCTCATATCAAACTTTGAAGTTCAGTTTTAACATTATTCTCCTATGTATACTTATCTCATCCAAGCCACCTCTTCCCCTCAGGACTGCGATTACATTTCTGTATACGTTTTCCATCTCTCAGATAAAAATTCTCTTTAATTAAAGAGGCACGTGCGTACGTGTACATGAGTGCCCTTTAATCATCTGCCCTTCCTTTCATGTCTCGATAACATGACCCTAATGAATATATGATCATAATATTTCAGGCTTATATTTTGTATAATGCACACGTGTCCCTCGAAAGAGACCACCACATCAATAGCACACTGTGACCAAAACCAATCAAAAGCTTGAATCACGGCACCACAATGATAATGCTGACTGGTGGAAAATTATGTACGTAAAACCAATATCACTTCCGGTGTGATTACCGAACAGTCAACTCGAGTGTTTGTTCAAAATGTCGATGCACCACCAGAGGACAAAAGCCTAAGGTAATATGGACAGCAGTTCAAATCATGGTCACACATAACGCTGCGAGAATCATAGTGTATATTAATCATGTAGGTGGGCATTTATAATTAAATCAAAGTGTTAAAATTAAATATTAAAATATCTGTATTGTACTACAAAGTTTAAATCTTTCCTTTGCTTGACGCCGTCTGGAAGCCCTGGAATAGCCTAGTTTTTTTTTTTTTAAATTTC